TGTCGATTGGGCCACCGTGGTGCACCCCCGCACAAATGGGCAGGTCAAGTGCGCGAACGGCATGGTCATACAAGGCCTTAAGCCTAGGATCTTCAACCGTTTGAACAAGTTTGGCAGATGATGGGTCGCGAAGCATCCCGTGGTGCTCTGGAGCAAGAGGACAACCCCCAGTCGGGCCACCGGCTACACGCCATTCTTCATGGTCTACGGTTCCGAGGCTATCCTCCTAACCGACCTTGACTATGGAGTGCCAAGGGTCAAGGCGTACGACGAACAGGGAGTCGAGGCATCCCTCGAGGATGCCATGGACTAGCTAGATGAAGCGCGTGACGTTGCCCTCCTCTGCTCGGCCAAGTACCTGTAAGCGTTGCACCGGTACCACAGCTGTCGGGTATGCGGTCAGGCCTTCAACGTCGGGGACCTAGTGCTCTGCCTCGCCCAGTGCAACAAGAACCACCACAAGCTCTCCTCGCTGTGGGAGGGACCGTACGTCATCACGGAGGTGCTCTGACCAGGCACCTACAAGCTTAAGACCATCGATGGTGAAGTCTTCGTCAACGCCAGGAATATTGAACAGCTATGTCACATTTACCCTTAATTTACGCATACTTTCTCTTATCTGTTTCGCTATCAACTCCTTGATCTTTAGTGACACCCGACCCCAGCAACGATAGGGGGTCGGGCCTCACTCAGGGCTGATAAGAGCATATCTAACTGGTATACATTCTCTACGCTCGACCCTTTCTTACATTAAGACCCAGAAGCAAGGGTCGCGGAAACAAACGTTGAGTAAAACTAGTCGGATTGCAAGAAACCTACGCCCCAGCGGCTACGGCATTTTTGCTCACTAGCGTGATCAGAATTTTTTCCGCACCCCAAGCTTTTTAAGCCTTAACTATGGAAAGAGACAGAATGCATTTAAGAGTATATCCACCTGGCGAACATTCTCTGTGTCCGACCCTCTCTCATGTTAAGATCTAGAAGCAAGGGATGCAGAAATGAACGCTGAGTAAAACTGGTCGGACTGCAAGAAACCTACTCCCCAGCGACTATGACATTTTTGCTCACTAGCGTGATTAGAGTTTGTTCACCCGCACCTTGAGCTTTACAGCAGTAACAACAGAAAGGGTCAGAACACATTAACTTTTTTATACAAAATGGGTAGAAGGGCTAAAAATCTGTTTGGCCATAATGAAATTTAAGAGCTTATCAACTTATTACGAGTTCGTCGCCTGACTTATCTGCCTAACTAATTTTGGGGGGGTAATCTCATCCCCTATCTCCATAGGTAAGTCTTGTGACAGCGGTTCACCCAAGTCGATCGGACGGCTCGGGCCGCCGTCATGAGACGTGTAAGGAGCAGTAGGATGCCCCATGCGGGTTATGTTGACTCCGTCACGAATGACGGACCCAGATTCCACTCGGACATATCCGATAAGAGCTCCCCAACCCCGTCAATCGAGCCATCAAGGTAAGCCTTGTGCCAGCAGGTCACCCAAGTCGATCGAACAGCTCGGGCCACTGTCGAGAGACGGGTCACCCTTAATTTACACATGTTTTCTCTTATTCGTTTCGCTATCGACTCCTCGATCTTTAGTGAAACCTGACCTGGCAACGGCAAGGGGTCGGGTCTCACTCGGGGGCTGGTAAGAGTATATCTATTCGGTAGACATTCTCTGTGCCCGACCCTTTATCACGTTAAAAATGTAAAGGCAAGGTTTGCGGAAACAAACGCTGAGTAAAACTGGTCGGACCGCAAGAAACCTACACCCCAGCGGCTACGACGTTTTTGCTCACCAACATGATCAGAGTTTTTTTGCCCACACCTCGAGCTTTAGCCTCTGCCTTCCCAGGAAGGGTTTGGAGGGCCCACTAGCGGAATCTCCATCGAGGAGAGGCCAGCGGGTCACCCAAGTCGATCGGATGGCTCGGGACGCTACCGAGAGATAGGTAAGGAGCAGTTTTGGTAAGACTGCAGTTTTGGTGTGCAGAAACATGAAGGGGGAGTCCGCTATTTATAAGGCGGAGCGGGGCGAGAAGGCGAACCGTCCACCTAGATTCACGTGCCCACTGCGTCGCGTCACGTCACCTCCCTCCAAAGATTGTGTGCATGCAATCTCTGTCCACACCGATACGCCGGATGACGGCTTGCCCGTTCAATGGGCCAAGAACCGTCGCAAGCAAGGTGGGATACGGGGCTAGAAATGCTCCTATGGCCCATTTAAGGCTCGGGAGCTCGAAGGCTGGCCCTCCGATGGGTTCACAGCCGCTTCGGGGCGCCCTTAGAGTGAGGGTGGAAAGGGATGGGCCCATTAGCGGCCAGTACCCAGGCACATGAGCACCACGAGCATCCCAGCCCACGTTCGAGTCTTCGTCGGTTCCCAGTCCATGGTTTTTCCTTGAAGAAAGGCAACGAGACCTTGGGACCGATCGAATGGACCCAAGAACTATATGGATTGGCCACTGAGAATCTCGAGTTGGTCATCAGCTGACCCATGCCAGAACCCCGCGAACAGGAAGCCAGGGCCCCACTCGGACTAGCCCATTAATAGCTCACCAAGCACCATGTTTTGTCCGTCGAGGAAAAACGTGGCACAGCTCAGCCCCTCCATTTTATCGAAAAAACGCTTGAGGGGCGACGATCACAAAGACGAGCTGGCCCTCGACCGGACCCCTGCTGTGCGCGGGGGCTTGAGGAAAGTTGGACTCATAAGAAGACCAAATGCGTGGTCGTAGTACGACGATGGACTGATCAGATCCTAGGGGACCGAAATCAAGAAAAATCTTTCTGACCCCTAGAATCTTACGGTTGTATGCCCCCAAGAAGACCGACCACGACAAGAGGGAACCGCCATCCCACCATGACACACCGCGGGCTACAGAAAAAAGGCCAAGGCCCTCAGAGTCCTCCCATCCAGAAAAGCCTCCAAAGGAGTATTCTACTCCTTCGCGGGCTCGGGGCTACTGTCGGGTATCGATATTAGGGATACCCAAAGCAAGGAAGTTAGCACCCACGCTGACTTCCTTGGATGGAGCAAGACGTATTCAAAGGTTTCGCCCGACCCCTTGGGTTCATGCTCCGTCTCGCCCGACGCCTTAGGTATGGGCTCTGTCTGCCTGACCCCAAGGACGCAGTTTTCGTCTCGCCTGACCTCGAGGCCGTGGGGGTCTCGCCCAAGGCTGCGGGCTCCGTCTCACCCGACCCCAACGCCACGGGCTCTGTCTCACCCTAACCCTTGGGTTCGTGCTCCGTCTCGCCCGACCCCTCGGGTGAGAGCTTCGTCTCGCTCGACCCTAAGGCCGCGGGCTCCGTCTCGCCTGACCCCTTGGGTTCGTGCTCCATCTCGCCCAACCCCAAGGCCGTGGGCTCCGTCTCGCCCGACGGAGACCCATACCGCCGCCAACCACTCCAGGTCCAAGCGTATGGGCCTAGGTCAAAACTCTAACACCAGGAAAGAGACTGGCACGCCTTGATGTAACCCGTGGTCATGACGGGCCATACCTGAGGGTTCTCATCAAGAACAGTGTCGGGCGTGCCGATGTTGTTCTGCCTAACCCTCATACGAACGCTGATAGGCGCGTCAGTTCACCACGACATTCGCTGGGACGAAATGGAACGCCATGACCGGCAAATGACGTTTGCGCATGGCGCCAGTGACGAACAGGGTCGCGACGTGGGGCCATCCCTGTTAACATCTACAGGATCGGTGGGACCGCGTGAAGAAGAAAAAGGACCCAGCGATCCTGGAAGCCTTCTTCTCTCTCTCGTTCTTCTCCTTTTCCTCCGCTGTAACCCACGCTTTTCCTTCGCCTATAAAAGGGGAAGCATGGCGCCCCATGAAAGGGGGATCCAGATCCGTACGAGACCGAACCACGAGATAAAAACACAAGAGCACAACACGAGCACACGGCTGAGCAGCGATCGAGCTCTCAGCACCCGTTCATTCCTTTCACCTGAGACTTAGGATCATTTCCCTCTCTCGCCTGTTTGTAACCCCTACTGCAAACCAAGTGCCGGTAACACGAGCAGCAGTAAACTGGACGTAGGGACGTTCCGCCCGAACCATTATAAACCATTGTGTCATCCGAGCACACCATCCGAGCTAGACGCGCAAATACAAATTTACTCATCGATGGTCCGAAAACACCGATTGTTGCATTCTGGACAAATGAACAATCTTCATATTCATCATTCAACATTGATTGATTCATTCATCCATCCATACATACATCCATGACTACTCACACGCATAGATAGGGCTGAGGACCTATATATAGGAGAAGCTAAGGGGGGCTCAGTTGACGCCAACAACCCTGGCTTTGGCGTCAAAACACTTGGCCTAGGACTGGTCTGGGAATGGCACAGAAGCAAACCAACCAGTTCACATAGCCTCTCAAGCCTAAGGGCATCTAAGTCATTTGGCTACGCCGTTACCCACCGTTAGAAGCAAAACTGGACAGGATGGCATGTTGAACAAAAGAGTTTAGCATTATAGCACCAGGATCCGTGTGAACTTTTTGGTGGCATATAGAAATAAAGCATCTTTCGTAATGGCACATATGGAAAAAGGCCCATAAATAAACCGCACATATGGAAAAGGCCCATAAATAAACCGAAAGGCATGCATCAGCAAGGTATACAGTTGACATTCATTGCACATTAGTCTCACAACTAGTACAAAATATATGGACCACCTAACAATTGGTGGAGTCAAACATGGTGCAAAATATATGATGAACCACCGAACAATAGTGCAAATGACTCATCCTTCCCTTATTCGCCTTAGCTGATGTCTCAGCGGCTGAAAGGCAATGTTGTTGTTGTTGATGATGTCTCAGCGGCTATATTAGAACAAGGTTCTGATTATTGCGCACATTACATCACTCCACCAGTCAGTGACTTCACCGTATCACAGCTACGACGGCAACGAAGAGCAAATGCTCAAGGCCTGGTTAGGGCTAGATTTTTCCGCCCAATCAAGGACCAAAAAAAGTTGCTTTTACTTGTATATGAGAGCATCTCTGCCAGGTCCAACACCAATGTAGTGCACGGGAACACCAACAAGCTCTTCTATCCTCTCCACATAGAGGCAGGCAGCTTGGGGAAGTTCATTGTAACTTCGAACAGACGAAATGTCACTTTGCCACCCAGGCAGAACCTCATAGTTGACCTGAAACACAAGGCAAGGCATATAAGAGATGAAATATATGCATTCTTAGTCTCTTATACCTGTTTAAATTGTCACTACTAACACCACAAGCTTTTGAGACAAGGATATTATATTGCATCTTAAAACAGAGAAAATAATGTACATTCTCGAAACAATGCTATGTTTCTACTCAAAGCGGCTTTACGCCGTGAAAACACAGTGAGAAGTGCATGCCAAAGCTTACCTGTACTTGCTCAAGGGTATCAAGATCCCCAGGGAAGGATTGTAGCTTCTGTCCATCAGGTTGGCTATAAGAAACACCCACCTTAATTTCTGACAACCCAGACAGAACATCAAGTTTGGTCAGATTAAGTGATGAGAACCCATTGATTTGGCAGCAGTACTTAAGCGCGACAATGTCAAGCCAACCGCATCGCCTTGGGCGACCCGTTGTTGTGCCAAATTCCATTCCAGCTTTCCTAAGGCGGTCACCTTCCTCTCCAAATAGTTCAGTTGGGAAAGGGCCAGAGCCAACTCTTGATGTGTAAGCTTTGACCTGCACGTAAAGCATACATAATATATAAGCAGTAGAGCATGAAAGAGGACTGTAATAATGAATAACAGTGGGTTTAACTTACCACTCCAATCAGGTCACCAATTACCCTTGGAGCAATCCCTAGGCCTGTGCATATCCCACCAGCTGAAGGGCTAGAAGAAGTCACAAATGGATAAGTACCAAAATCAATATCCAGCATAGTTGCTTGTCCACCTTCAACCAGGATTTTCTTCTTCTGCTGAATAGATTCATTTAGCACATGCACGGTATCAGCAATGAAGGGCTCCAAGCGATCTGCAAACTTCTTGTACCTCTCAACCTCTTCCTTGAGCATGCTTTTGCTGTACTGAAAGCCTTGAAATCTCGAAGCAGCGTCTTTGAACAATACATCAAGCTTATCCCCAAAAGTGTCCATGTGCCTTAGATCACAAACCCGCAGTCCATTTCGAGTTACCTTGCTGGAGTAACAAGGACCAATGCCTCTCTTAGTTGTCCCAATAAATGAATTCTCAAGCTCAGCTTCCCTAAGTCCATCCACAACCTGGTGCAGATCAAACAGCAGATGTGCGCGGTCGGATACCAGTATTCTTCCATCACAGCGGACTCCATTGGACTCAAGACCATCAATTTCTCCAAAGAACCCTGGAACATGGATCACTGCTCCATTGCCAACAACACAAAGTGTCCCTTCATGGAGAATACCAGATGGAACAAGATGAAGGGCAAATTTCTTGCCTTCTGTGTTGTAGATTGTATGTCCAGCATTTGCTCCCCCCTGATAAAAATGTGGTTGAAACTCAGATAAGGCTACTAAACTAAGGAGAAGTAGCTAACTGATACTGACTGACTTGCCGTGCTCAAAGACCATTATGTTAAGTATACAAAAATTAAGAGTGGAAAATGCACTTACACAGAGAGAAGTCCTGATAGACTATAAACATTCACCACAGAAATCAAGCAAAAAACAAATAAGTAAGGGACATGATGTGACCCCCAGGAGCATTAGTAATACTACATGTTACTGAAATATAGATTACTCTGGGATGCAAAACATGGTGAAATCTCAAGCTTGAATTAGTTTAGCAACTCACAAGTATTTGCTTTAAGAGCACGAAGCAACTTGCAGTACCAGGGCTTAACATAACATAGAAGCTTTGCATTTTATAAGTCTCTCCATCATATAACCAACCTTACAGGACACATTCTTATGTGACCAAATAAAAAGAACAATCTCTTGCTTGAATTAACCAATCTATCCACTTGGACCATAAATCTATGATTTATCTACACTATGTATGAACATTCTAGCATGGTACAAAGGAGATTATCACAGGTGCATGTCTTTTAGTCATATACCAAGTGTTTATCAGTCAAGATCAAACATCCTAACACACCTGTAAGAAACCAAAGGTGCAGCCAACATCGAGAAGATTTAAAAACCCATCATCTCCAAAACGACTATAAGGCTGGAGCTTTACTCTCCTTAATAAATTTCGCGTAAATTATGGTCATCAGCAATGTGAAATCTAAACACAGATCGCTCTTTCAGCAATCATCATCAAGCCTAATCCACAAAAATAGCACCAAATTCCAACGATTGGCTTCGTGAACGACCAAACTTTGACCATCGCAGAAGCACGGCTGCGCCACAGAACTCAACTCCTCTAAGCATGGATTAGCACAATCAAGACCCCTCACCTGGCAACGCGCAACTATGTCGAAGCGGGGGGCGAGCACGTCGACGAGCTTGCCCTTTCCTTCGTCGCCCCACTGCGACCCCAGCACGCCGGAGACTTGGCTCAGCGACGAAACCCTATCCTCCGCGGAATCCGCGTGAACAGCCGCGGTCGCGGAGGAGACGGCGGCGGGGACAGGGGCCCGTGCCTTGGGGAAACGTACGGACTGCACCGCCGGGCCAGCCGGGAAAAGGAACTTTCCGCTCCCGGTGGCGGCGGCGGCGGCGGCGGCGGCCGGGTGGCTGAGTGTGGAGAGCGACATGCTGGTTCGAGGGTTTTAGGACGGGCTGGGTATTGTGTCTTTTTCTCCGTTTTGTACGCGAGGGGGGAATTGGATACCGCTTTTTTTTTTAAAGGGAAATATACTTTTATTACTCATCACGTACGTACGTAGAGTTGATGGGCCTGTTTGGTTGCCTAGAAACGCCAACCAGGCTCCAGGAAGTCAATCTGTAGATGTTTGGTTGTCTGTAAATATAGATGGCCATCGGGCCGGCACGGCACGACGTGCCTCCTGGGTCGTGCCGAACTGGGCTTCGTGCCTTACCAATGGCCCAAGCACGGCCTGTCGGGCTGTTTTTCGGGCCGGGCCGGCCTGAGAAGCACAGCCAATCCACCGTGTCGTGCCTGCCCGAGGCCCACGAGGGAGCGCTGTCATCGGAGGAAGTCGAGGTCGTGGTCGTAGCAACGGAGTCGGAGAGGGAGCCTTCGCGCGGTGCCTCCAGGCGAGACCTCCATGCGCTCGCCGAGGCAGGAGCCAAGAGGGAGCTGTCGCCGCCGCGCTTTGCTCCCACACGCTCGTCGTCGGATTCGCACGCCCGAAGGCACTTGATGTCGGATCTCTATGGCCGATGGGTTGATGGAGTGGAGGAGGCGTGCTAGAGGTGAACCAGAGAAAAGCATCGGGAGGAAGAGAAGCAAGTGACCGGGGGAAGAGAAGGGTGCGTCCGCGTGTGTGGAGGCGGAGTCGCGTTCGCGCGTGTGTGGTGTTGGACGGGAGGTTGCGGCGGCTGCGTCTGGGATGGAAGAGAGTTAGGGTCATGGAGGATAAGAATCCGTGTGTGTGTATATATATTTGATTGGGGTAGCGGGCTTTTAACGGGCCTGTGGCATTTTTTCGGGCCTTGCCGTGACGCCCGTCGTGCCTGGGGAGCGGCCCAGGCACGGACCTATGCATCGGGCCGTGCCGTGCTCGTGTCGGACCAAAATGCCATGCTTCGGACGGGGCTATCACGTCTCGGGCTAAATGGACATGTGTGTGTGTGTGTGTGTGTGTGTGTGTGTGTGTGTGTGTGTGTGTGTGTGTGTGTGTGTGTGTGTGTGTGTGTGTGTGTGTAAATAGCCCAAAGACAGGCTCTGCTAAGCCACTTTATAAGCCTTAACATGGCTCTGGGAAAACAAGATTGGGATCCGTTTACTGCTGTCCAGGCTTGGTCAAGCCGACCGCTGAAGTCTCGCCACCTCCCGCTCGGTCGCTCTGTTATTTTCTGTGGATCGACTAGGGTAGATCTAGGCGGATGTGCTGTTGAACATGATGAACTAGAACAAGCAGAGAGTGGGAGGAAGGAAAGGGGTGCTGGTGTTGAACCTGAGCCCCTGGGGTCACAGTTGAGTGGCCATCTCAACTTTGGTGATGGAGGCAAGACACAGGCAATGACAGGTGGAGTAGAGGTTGCACGGACGTCGATGTCAAAGGAGACAGACTGGCAGAGCAGATGACGACGGCGAAGTCAGCGGAGCTTCCCGTCGCTGGCTACGCGCCCTCTTAGATCGGTCTAGGGTTTGTCGGTGGGGCTTGCGGCTCACGGTGAACCTCGTACCTCGAGCCGTCGGCCCCCCACCTCTTTATATAGCACAGTGCGATGGGGGCCCACCAACCATGTAGGGTTGGGCGCCCCCGATCAGGGCGCATGACCAAGGCCCAATAGGCCGTTGGGCTTATTGGTTGAGAGATCAATCTAACATTCTCTCCCTTGATCTCACTATTACTTTTATCTTTAAACTTCAATCCTTTTATCCTTACTCATTTCTTCATAGATGATGCATAGAGCATGTTTCATCGTCACGGTCAATTGCCGATAGATTTAATAGCTACAATGCACGTCTCTGATCTGAAATAGTTACTTTAACTTTTGGGCCCTTTATAGTCCAGGAATCATAGGCTTTCCCTTAAACCCATGCCGGCTACATGTTCTCTGAACACGTTGGGTGGTAAGCCTTTTGTAAGCGGATCCATGAGCATCTTTTCTAAGTACTTATATGCTCAAGACTTATCATTTGATCCCGGACTTTATCCTTCACAACATAATACTTTATGCCAATGTGTTTGGCGGCACCACTTGACCTATTGTTGTGAGCATCTTTGTCATCTTTGAATTATTATCGCGAAGATAACTTCAAAGTGAATCTGTTGATGTCGTCAACCACCTTCAAACCGGGTATGAACTTCTTTAGCCAGTTCACCTGCCCCGTTGCCTCATAACACGCTACAAACTCGGCATATATTGTGGACGATGTAGTGACGGTTTGCCTTGAGCTTTTCCATGAAATAGCTCCCCCTGCGAGAGTGAACACATATCCAGACGTGGATTTTCTATTATCTCCCGCATAATCAGAATCTGAATATCCCACTATATGGAGTGAATCAGATCTTCTATACGCCATCATGAGGCCTTTCGTTCCTTGCAAATAACGCAAGACTTTCTTTACCAATTTTCAGTGTTCTATTCCAGGATTGCTCTAGAATCTGCCAAGTAACCCGATAACAAATGCCAAGTCAGGGCGCGTACATACTTGAGCATATTGCAAGCTTCCGACAGCTGAAGCATATGGAACCACTTTCATTTGATCGATCTCATATTGGTTCCTGAGGCATTGAAAATCCCCATATCTGTCGCCCTTGACTATAGGAGCAGGTGATGGACTACATTTGTGCATACTGAATTTCTTTAAGACTTTCTATGTATGCCTTTTGTGACAGTCCTAATACCCCTTTACTTCTATCTCGGTAAATCTCGATCCCTAGAACAAACGAAGCTTCACCAAGATCTTTCATATCAAATTTTGAGGACAAAAACTTCTTTGTTTCCAGTAGTAGACTGACATCACTACTAGCAAATAAGATATCATCCACATACAGGACAAGGAAGATAAACTTCCCATTCTTAAACTTTGCGTAGACACAATTGTCCTCAACATTATCTTTAAACCCAAAATTCTTTATTGTCTGATCAAACTTCAAGTACCACTGTCTTAAAGCTTGTTTTAATCCATAAATGGATTTCTTTAGGCGGCATCCTAAACGTTCTTTTCCTTCCATGACAAAATCTTTCGGTTGTGCCATGTAAACATTTTCTTCTAAGTCTCCGTTGAGAAATGCCATCTTTACATCCATCTAATGTAATTCTAAATCGTAATGTGCCACTAATGCCATTATGATTCTGAAAGAATCCTTACATGAGACTGGAGAAAAGGTCTCATTGTAATCAATCCCTTCTCTTCGTGTAAAGCCTTTTGCCACAAGTCGGGTTTTATATCTCTCTATATTCCCTTGAGAGTCAAGTTTTGTTTTGTAGACCCATTTACAGCCTACTGTTTTTGCTCCTTTAGGAATTATCTCCAAATCTCAAACTTTATTTGCATTCATTGATCTCATCTCATCTTCCATGGCCTCAAGCCACTTTGATGAATGGTCACTTTTCATGGCTTCTTCAAATGAGGTGGGATCTTTCTCCATTTGAAATTCTTCAGTGTTGTACACTTCATAATCAGCAGGAATAGCTGATTTTCTAACTCTTTGAAATATTCTAGGAGCCTCCTCATTTGGCACATTTTCTGTTTGAGGCTGTTGTTGCTCCCCCTCATGTGTGGCAATAGTTTCTATAGGATCCTGAGGAACAGGTTTCTCATCATCATTCATTGTTGCCACAGGCGGGATAACAACATGTGCTGATACCACAGTGTCTTGTACTGTCGGTGCAGTAACAGCAGGTAGTGAGAAAAATAGCTCATGAATGATCGGAGTGGGTGCATACACCCGCTTCTCTTCAAGGTCAATTTCTCGAGCTACCATGCTCCCCCTAATCATTTCATCCTCTACGAAGACAGTGTATCTCGTTTCCACAAACTTTGTATGTCTGTTATGACAGTAGAAACGAAAACCTTTTGACTTTTCTGGGTAGCCAATGAAATGGCAACTCACTGTTTTGGGATCCAGCTTCCCAATGTTTGGGTTAAAAACTTTAGCCTCAGCAGGGCTCCCCCACACACGCAAGTGGTTAAGTGAGGGTACTCTTCCTGTCCACAACTCATACGGTGTTTTGGGCACCGACTTACTTGGTACTCTATTGAGAATATGAATGGCGGTTTTTAACGGCTCCATCCACAGACTCATCGGTAAAGTGGAGTAACTTATCATACTACGCACCATATCCATCAGGGTACGGTTACGCCTTTCAGCTACTCCATTCTGCTGAGGTTCGTCCGGTGTGGAATACTAGGCTACTATGCCATTCTTCTGTAAGAACCTTGCACAAGGTCTAGGAACTTGGCCATATGGGGTATGCCGACCGTAGTACTCTCCCCCATGGTCAGACCTGACTATCTTAATCTTTAAATCATGCTGATTTTCAACTTCTGCTTTAAATATTTTGAATTTATCCAACACTTCTGTTCTTTCTTTAATTGGATAAATGTAGCCAAACCGAGAGTAATCGTCTGTGAAAGTTATGAATGAATCATAACCATCCACACTTTTCACAGGAAAAGGACCATAGATATCTGTGTGAATAATCTGTAGAATTCCTGCGCTTCGTTTGGCATCTTTCTTAATTTTCTTTACATACTTTTCTTTTATGCAATCTCTACATTGTTCTAAATCTAAGAGCTCTAATGTAGGAAGAATATCATTCTTAACTAGTCTTTCTATTCTCCCCCTCGAAATATGGCATAAACGACAGTGCCATAATTTCGACAACGCATCGTGAGCTCTCTTTCGTTTTCTGTTTGCATTGTTCGATGAGGATACATTCTCATTCACATCACATACGGAATTCACATTTTCACGAAGTGATAACAAATAAAGCTCGTCTTGTCGGAAGGCAAGACCAATACATCTATTATTAAACAATATCTGACATTTGCCATTTCCAAAATGACAATCATAACCATCATGGTCCAACTTTGATACACTAATCAAGTTTCTTTGCAAAGAAGGTACATAAAGAACATCTCTCAGAATAAGTATGAAGCCATCACCAAGCT